CTTCCGGTACTTGACGCGTCGCGGCGCTTGACGTGCTCGAATCTACATTTATCGCCGAAGGTGCACGTGCCAGAGTCGCGGAATTGGAAACACTCCCGCGAGGCGCGCTTCCGTGACGAGGAATCACCCCGATCCAGCTGGCCCGCCTTACGCTTGCCGTTCCCGCCCCGCGACCCTCCTGCCCCGGGGAGGGATCCCCCCTCACTCAGGACCGACCGGAAGAGGTTAACCCCGCGTTCGCAGAAGTTGTTGATGTGCGAGAACTCGGGCACCGGCGGCAAGGTGTGGCCGTCAAACGCATCCGGCGGGTAATGCATTTTGGTGAACGGGTACATCCACGTGATGATTTCCGTCGTCCATATTTTAAAATCCTCGTTTCGCAACCTCGGTAGGGCCGCCCGCTGGTAGTCGTTGGAGAACACATCACTGTTCTGCACGAGAACATTCCGAAACCTGGACCGCGCGTCCGCCATGGCTGTGGCGATGGGTTCCAACCGCCGCAACGATTGTGCACCCGCTGTCGTGGACGGATCGAGACCAAACTTCAACAGCCGCATCATCGCCTCACACATTACGTCGAAGTTGTCTGCAATGGACGACGTGCGTGCGACCCCCACGGGCCGGAAGCTCTTGACGTCGAAAGACGAAAACGCACGCATCTGAGCGAGGACGTCGCCTGTGACGTGCACGATATCGCCCATCAAACCTTGCAGGTCCTCCTTCTGTGGTCCGGGCTCCGGCCCCCGCTGCCCCCGAAGTACCCACAGGGTCTGATTATGTTTGGCTTGCCAAATAGTGGCCTCCCTCCTCGCCTCCTCTTTGGCGTTGGACCTCGAGGGCGCATTCGCCCCCCCACCCGCGCCTCCGCCCCACGGCGACGGTACCGGCACCAGACCGAGGCCTCCCGACTCCCCGGGCCCACCACTCCCAGTCCGCCCCGACTCCGGCCGGAAGTTCTTCAGCAACCCAGCAATCTCGGTAAGCTGCGCCACCATGTTCGTCTGACCTTGTTCCAACCGAGCGATTTTCTCCGCATTCTCAGACTCGAGCGGGGTGCCCTCGCTGGGCTCTCCCGCCCCCGCCGCATCCACCGACAGATGGGCCAAACGCGACATGAGGTGTGCCTTGACGGGGTCATCAGCACGTCGGGGTGCCGGTGGGCTGGCACCGCCGGTAGCCGAGGCCCGATCGTGACCCTGAGTCTGAAGCCCACCGCTCCTTGCAGCCCCCACCTCTGCGGAGGATGGCGTGGTTGTTGAAGCCACGACACCTGCTGCTGGTGAATCCACGCCCCCGGCGGCAGCCCTCGCAGCCGCCGCCACCGCGCCCGCCACGACCTGGGACGGCCGCGGGAGAGACGCACCCCCTCCCGTCCTCAACGACGACTCGGCCTCACCGCCAGTAGTTCCGTCACTGCGGTGGACGCCAAGACGTTAATCCGTCTCCTGCGATTTGTGCTCCGAGGACATGGCCCAAATTTAAATTGATGCAACCAAGAGCCCACGAAGATTCAACCTCCAGTTCCAGCCGAACTGTTCGCCACACTCACTCTTCCACTACTACCGGTCACGCCAATTGGCAGCTCCGCTTAACATATCTAAAAGGTAGTCAGCGCAGGCCAGCGAAGAGATCGGGCGACTGGGTGATGCTGTAATTGCGAGGGCGTTGTATGCCGGAGGTTATGATGTCCTCACCATGGCGTTGGGCGCGGGTGGCGACTCGATTTATATCCTCTCGGGTTTCCGAATAACAACGACTCAACATGTTTCTCACCAAAAAACGAACGACAGAGTGCTATCTATCCACACCTGCCATGCTTTGTACCATGCTCAGCACAACTAGAGGGCCTGCCAGCCTCTCACCTGATCGCGGAAGATACACCCTGTACTCAGACTCGTGCTTGTTGTGTCCCAAAAGACCAGACGCCTGCCGGGCATCGCACCGCCTCCATTGGCACGTTGCTGGCACCGCTATTTGTTGGAAAGGCTGGTTGAAGTGCTGGTCCGAATGAGACGATGCCGCCGCCGGCTGCATCTGCTGCTGCTGTTGTTGCAGCTCCTGTGGTCTGGCTGGCAAAGCTCAAGCTTCCCCGTGGATGAGTTCCCGCGCTGCTGATTGATGATCTCCGACCGCAGGTCCAGTCCTGGCACCAGGAGTCAACTTGTGGTCCTCGACTCTGAAGGCCTACCTCCAGCCCCCAGAAGGGATTGCCATCGCTGTGTTGTGTGTGCACATGGTTGCTGCTGCTGCTACTGCTGCTGCGACTGCTGTGCTGCCATGTGCTGCTGCTGTGCGTGCGGCGCATCTTCCGTGCTTCGTGAACTTCGTGACTCTTCTGGTTTTTGATTGGTCATGCCTCGTGAAACTTCGTGAAATAGAGGGATTCTTATTGTGGCCGATGCCTCGTGGATTCTGTCCCGCTCAAATTTTTGTTCGCCTGTGTGATGCCTCTCCTGGGCCGCTGACTTGCTGTGCACATCTCCCAACTCGCCTGCCTCCTAGTCTAGGTCGCGAACTGTACATCGCCTTGTACGGGAAACATTTGCTGACTTGGCTTCAGTGTGAAGAGTGTCCCCACGTGTTTTGGGGACACTTTGACACTGAAGCCAAGTCACCCTTTGTCTGGCAAGGAGCTCAGATTCTTTGGAGGGACTGTAGGCCCTCGACCAACGAATGGCTGGCAAACATTTTTCAGCATTGTTTATGGGCGGAGGGACTGGGTACTGAGGAAGATTTAATACAGATAGGGCCCGGAGATAAGAAACATTCAAATTGGGTCGAGCCTCAATTTATTATTCTGGGCAGAGGGGCCAGCCGAAGTCGGTCAATTTCTTAAAACGCAATTCTTATTCCTTTGGGCTGTCGCATCCTGCTGAATCTTCTATTCCCGGCGCATTCGGCACCTCACGACCCCAAACCTTGGCATTGCCCAACAGCCCATGGCATCACCTCCTTCCAGATACCATTCATGAGGCGTTAAGTATTCGTCGAGATATCGGTGATCACAGCATTCCCACAATCGACGCTGGAGAGGGTCTACCTGTGCGATAGGGGTAGCAGCTTGACGTGACCCGGTATAGTTGCCGCCGTGCAGCTTTTCTCGCCCCTTCCCGACTCGACAAAAGCTGCAAAAATTTTCGGCCAGATTGCAGCTTTTCGCTCCGGAAAAAACGTTGCAGAACTTTTCGTGCAACTTTTAGCTCCCATACTGAGCGTACATTTGCAAAGCTGCAAGAAAAGTTGCAGAAATGCAGCTTTTTTTAGCAGCGTTGTGCTGCCATAAAAAGCGGTGTGATGGCGAAGAAAACAACACACCAAAAGCCTTCATGCAGCATTAAACCGACAGCTCGAGAACATTGGGGGTTGTGGCAGTACAGAAGTACGGCAGCAGTGGGTAGCGCAGCCCACGGCGGCGCTGGGGCGCGGGGGGCGCCGCGAAAATAACTACTCTCCGCCCCTACCACAAAATTACATGAATGACATGAGCTAGGTGGGAGGTGGGAGCCATATATATGGCAGCAGCAGCAGCAGTGGGACGTTTCTTTGTACTCGATCCCCCAGCTTCTACCCCTTGTTTCTTTTGTCTTCGGGTATCGCACGATCACGTTTGTTTCTTGCTGGGACGTTTCTTATGTTGTGCCCGAGATTGAGCTGTGTTTCTTCGGCCTTTTTTCTTATTTTCCGTAAAAAACGGAGTGTTTTTTTCTTAACAAAAGTTTTCTTAACGGCGGCTCTCATCTGTAGTCTATCGTTGTACGTGGTAACCTCGAAACCACCATTAGTCGCAAAGTCATGAGTTCGAATTCCCACGGGGTGAAAATACAACTTTTGCGGGTGAAAGCGAAAAACAGCTGAAAAGTCCTTCTCGTGAGTACCAAACTTCGACGCTAGCACCGTTGACGATGGAAAAGGGCGGACGGCTGGACCCTTCTCGCGATAAAAAATGAAATTCAGCACGCACCGCAGAGGAAGGTGGGGCACAATAATGAAAATATAAAGAAGAAAAAAGCCTTGAAAAGCCCTCATGTTTTACCCACCCTCGGTGGTTAGTTGTACGAAAAAATACACTGAAAAGTGTGGTACTCGACGTGCGTACACTGAAGAGTGTATTAGTCTAGTACACGTCTCACCACAAAAAATGGGGGGACTGCTGTCGTCATAATAAATGGTAGGACGAGCACACAACACACACATTGTTGTCGTTGTTGTTGTTTGTTGTTGATCACACGTAAGAACCGTTCCGGTCTCCGCTTAGTACCTTCTAATAATGTCCGTATACTACAGTACTGGTCCAACTGACGACGCGGACGCCTTCCGTGGTCACAAGCCAACTACCTCCAAAAGGGTGGTACACCTACGCATGCATGCAAAAAATATCGCGTCTTGGACAACCTTTGTTGTTGTTGTTATTGTTGTTGTCTTCACATTAAAACACCGTTCCGATCTCTCTATCCAGTACATACAGTTGTGGCTCCGTCATATGAGCGCACCTTGTAAGAGGGGGCTCCGATATCAGAGGGTCGAATTCGGTTGTCACGGACTCGACTCGCTATTACAGTAGGGTTAACCTCTTACACGGAGACCGGGCCATTTTTGTGCGGTCAGTCCACTACGTATTAGAGGGGGTTGACTCCACTACGGGACTTGTCAGTTAGGGACTGCTGTTGCCGGTGTTTGGCTCCCCCGGTCTTTTTCACTCACACACAACACGCGTTCCTCACAACAAACGCCACAGGAATAGACTTGAGAGGAGCTGCCAATTGTGAAGTATAGTCTAGTGGTTGCAGTGGTAATGTGCTTCTCTTGCTACCGTCTCTACCGTTATCTTGTATATCTGGAGAGTAGCTTATCCTCCCCCATGACGTCCCCTCACGGGGTCCCGGATGGTGGCCTTTTGAACCATTTCTGTACTCAACCGAACTGAGACTGGCGTATTTTCAATGGGTAGCGCTTACAAAACACACACGAACGCACACAGATCTCGGCGCCCACTGCAGTAGATGCACGAGGCTTTTAGTGTCGTTCCTTTCACATAAGTCTCTAAATCTGCACCGCAGGCAGCGGTGGATAATTCTCTTTATTGTAGGCAATGCATGTGTTCTTTTAAGACCCTACGGCGCAGCAGCAGTAAACTGTATACGTGTGCGGCTAGCGCAGGTAGACCGTTCGTTTTGCGCAGTACAACAGTTACATGGAATTCTCATCGAAGAGGTGGTCGAGGCTTTGAAACATAATTGTTCGATTCTGTATGCGAATCAAATGCATGAACAGGTACTTTACCTCCTAGTATCAATGGCTGCGTCAACTTGGTTGCGTGTCAATTATTCTCTGCAGATGTTCCCACTCCATCAACGAACAAAACACGAAATGGAAAACGTTGCCGACACGATTACTATCACCTGCCTTGCTTTGGGTATGACGACTCGGGCTATCAAGCCACCCCACGTACTTTACAGTCTACCACACATGCTTAGATAACACACATGCTCAGATAACAATACAAGGCATAGGTACGCTGTGTTATAGTCAAAGTGCGCGTCTGTGTCTCTCGTTATTCCCGATCTCCCCATTGTAAGAGGGTACCCTGATGTAGAGTGCCCCGATATAAGAGGGTACCCTCTTATTCCGATGTAGGAGAGGCTCCGATATAAAAGAGGGTCGAGGACCTTGGTCACACCACCCTCTTATAACGGAGCCACGTCGGTACCTTCTGTCTATACTATTCCAACACTTGATGCGGTCGACTCCCGTGGTCACAGGCTAACTTACCCAAAAAAAGGTATTCGAAATGAATGGACCCGAAGGGTCCTCAGTCAATAGAAATCAACGACAGATAGTCTAGAACCCTCCGCTCGTCTGCAAACGCTATGCGAGGCAACCGTAGACTGGACGAAAAGAACAGAGGAAATACGCAGCGGGAGGAAAAGAGACCGACAACGAGAAAGACACGCCAGGGCCACTACAAAAAAACAATTCAACACAAACAAAACAAAACGGACTACCCGAGGCAGCAAAGCCACGTCATCGCTCGTGGAGGGTCGGTGCAATGGGGCAGTGAGGGACATTGTTTTTGAGGTCCATTATTATTTGATTTCTAGAAAGTTGTACCCCCGTTTTGGGGGTAGTTGGCTTGTGACCACGGAAGGTGTCCGCATCAACTGGACCAGTACGGACATCAGAAGGTGCTGAGCGGAGACGGGAACGGTTTTTAACGCGAAGACAACATACACAGCAGTTCTTTTCTTTCAGTTATTTTCCATGAACCACGGAAAAAATATGCTTTGCATGAGCGCCATTCGATACGCGCGGTTCTTCTGTCTGTCATGCTTTTGGGCTCCAGGCGTGCTGATAGATGATTGATAAATAGATCATTTGCAAGTGCTGGAGAGGGGGGATTACTGATGACAACGGCAATAACAACCGGTTTATTTGAAAATCAACCAAGGTTAAGTTTCGTACCGCGTTAGCCCCGCTTGTTGAAGGTTTCCCGTGAGGACACAACAACCCCAAGTGTTAGTCCCACCGGCGCACTCCACTCAGGTTTGCTCGAATGTCTCACCTGCCCCCGAATATTGGTTGCCCCCCGGGGTGTATGGGCCCTACCGGAAGCACTTGAGCTTACCTACCATTGAACCAATCGGGAATGATACTTCGGCTGTGTACGTTAGGAGTAAGCATACGTAACAACCTTGGGTACGTTCGTAGTCTTGGCTGAGTCCCTGTGGAGCCGCCATTCTTAACCTTCCCCACGGGCGAATACATGCTTGCGTTGATGCTGGCACAAGGCGAGAATGGCGTACTGTAGCAAACGAAACGGTCGTCATGTAAAAACGTCGGGAAAGAGTGGCGAAGGTCGTCATGCAAGACGTCGGGAAGGAGTGGCACGATGTGGGTTTGGGATGAGTGAGAATCCTGAAAATTTGTTGTTTTCAATGCCGTTGTTCCTGGCGGAACTCCCCCCCTCCCTATTTTGAGCTTGTTGTTCCGGTATTTTTAACAGCGACCTATCGGCGGTACTTCTCGCGCGTTTTTCCCTCTCCGCGTTCGTTTATTCCTCAGGTGCAGCGTCGATCGCGGCGGTGCCTTAGCGTTGGACCAGAAGCGCGTGACCTTGGAGCCATGTCAAACGACGCTTCTGATGGATCTTCTCCTGCTGTGCTCTCGCTCGCCGGAATAAGGGAGGCCGCGGATAGGATTTCCCCCCACACCCAAATTACCCCCGTCCTGACGTGCGGCGCCTTGAACGAAATGAGCGGGCGCGAAGTGTTCTTCAAGTGCGAGCTCTTCCAGAAGACCGGGTCATTCAAGGCCCGCGGCGCGTGCAACGCGGTCCTGCTCACCCCTCCGGAGTGCCCCGGTGTCGTCACCCATTCCAGCGGCAACCATGCCCAGGTACCGCACTTGCTTGTCGCGGTTAGAAATTTTGCTGCTCGGATCGTGGACGAGGTCGATCGGCCCCGATTGGTACCGCAAAGGATTGCCGTTTGTAGCTCTAGAACGGGCTGGTGCGAGGCGGTGGGTTCGCACAGCAAGGGTAGGAGATACATCGTGTAAATTTGCATCAACAGGTCGTCGAGGCATGGACTGGGTTGTTTAACAGCACGCCTGGCCACCGCAGAGCCCGTCACTTTTTTTGTTGTCCCTCGACGTTGACGAACCAGGCACTTGCATGGGCGGCAAGCGTGCGCGGAATCCCGGCACACATCGTGATGCCGCGGAGCTGCATGGCGGTCAAGGTGGACGCCGTCCGTGGCTACGGGGCAAGGTGAGACCTATCGGGTTAGACCTACCGTCTATGACGCTTGTCAGCTGCTGTCGGGTGCTCGTCACAAGTGGGCTCAAAGCCAAGCATTTTTGTTTCCTGTGTGGGTCCTGCGAGGAGAGTCGTTGAGGTGAATTGTTGTTCTTTGTCCAGAAGAACAACCACAAACAACAATTGGGGGACAAAATCTTCCTAACTCGGAGACACACCAAACTCCACGAGGACAAGGACGGTGCTCGTGGAAACAGATTCTCCGTGGGTGTGGGGTACAAATCAAGACAATGGAGCAATAGCGAACACATGGTTTGTGTGCTTGTGCTTTATTGAAGTAGCATCGAAAGCGCTGACCGGCTGGCCAATGAACTGACGTCCGTCTTGAGTTTTGTGTGTTGTTGCTTTTTTGTTTTGTTCGGTTTTGGGGACGCAACGTTAAGCTCATCCCACACACGTTGCGCGCCCGACATTGACCCCCTGCCCCATTCCTCCTCCTGCTCTGCTCTCGCCCTGTATGTCTATGCCACCACCACATGCACTACAGCGTAACTCTCTGTGAAAACAGCAAGTCCAGCCGAGAGAGCACCGCAGCCGACATCGTCTCGAAGCTCCCTGGCTCCAGCCTTATTCACTCTTCGAACGACGCCCGGGTTCAGTGCGGGTGCGTTTATTCGTAGATTAGGGGAAGAAACGTTTCGTAGATTCGGCGAAGAAAGGTTTCGTTAAGTGACGGTCTGTGCGGCTCCTCCACCACTGTTCCTGCCTGCTTGCACATTCTGTAGTGCTAAAGGGTCTATTGGATCGAGTTGTAACAACGCCGAAGACCCTGGTTTACTCAGCGTGGCGCGCGATCTCCAACGCCACGCCACGTACCTGTCTCGGACAGGGAACGTGATGTTGAGTCGGACTGCAACGTAAAGAAGTAAGTTTATCTACCACAAAGAGAGGCAAGGGTTACGTAAAACCCTAACCCTAACGCTCACCAAGATTCCACCGATTCCATACTTTATCCAGTATGTTTCCTTAGCAAAAAACCCGCGAACGCCTCCGATTGAGTCCGTTGCGGCGTTCTCCTTTGCTCTTCCCCGTCGGGGACGCATGCTCATCATCCCCTCTCTCTATGGAATTCCCCGTACACCAGGATTGGCACGATTGGCCTCGAGCTCGTGAGCCAGGTCAAGGACCTAACAGGCGGCGCGGATCTCGACGCGGTCATCGTGACGATAGGCGGCGGGGGGCTCATCAGCGGGGTCACGACCGCCGTCAAGGCTCTGTGTCCCAACGCTCGCATCATCGGCGCGCAGCCGGAGAAAGCAGCGGACGCGTTCAAGTCCAAGCAGAGCGGGACCTTGTGCAGCCCCGCGGAGGGCGAGGCATTGCCGGACACCATAGCCGACGGCCTCCGGACCTCGCTCGGGAATAAGGCGTGGCCGGTTGTGAGGTGCGTTGGGGGGGGAGTATCTTGTTTCGCAGGGCACTCGATCGGTACCGTACAGGCGGAGAGCTATTGCAATACGACGATACTCTGTCGTGGTTTGTCGTTTTTCGGCGGTGCCGCCTTCGGCAGTTCCGGGTACACCAAACGTACGGCGGGAGAATTGTCCACGAGCACCCTGAATGTGTCGCCTGCCTTAGCTGTTGACCATGCGTCCCTCGAGAGGACGGAGCGTTGTTTCTACAGGAGAACAGATCGCCGATGGCCGATCGTTCGTTCCTACTTTGCCAATGGTGGCCCAAAAATGTTTTACCCCGTCCTGTCTAGAATATATCACTTGTCTGCTTCTGCCGCTTCATACAAGCTTGAGAGGCGTGTGGCGCCTCGTTTGGGTTCGCGCTTGACCCGCTGCCGCCGCTTTGCTGCCATACGATTGGTCCGTTTTGGGACAGTATGCATTCACGGCATGCGGTACATGCGTAGAGCAGATACAAACATCATCCTCGTTGATCTAAACCACCCGTGTGCTCTCGCCCGCCCGCTCAACGTAGGGATTCCGTGGACGAGATCGTGACGGTTTCCGAGGATGATATTCGGGTGTGGATGGGGGTGGTATACAAGCGGATGAAGCTCGTGATCGAGCCGAGCGCGGCAGTTGGGGTAGCCGCGCTCATGTCGCCACAAGTGCGAGCAATGCCCAGCGAGATGCGAAAGGTTGGCGTGGTGCTGTGTGGGGGCAACGTAGACGTGACCTTGCTGCAAGACCTTTTGTCCGTCGCCGGCCCGTCGAGTGACTAAAGAAGGGTCTAGCCACTAGCAGGAGCCATTCAATGTGGACATATTTTTTCAGTACCCAGGAGAAAAACGAGCTTGGCCAAGAGCGCACGGAGTTGCACCGATGGCATCCGACCTTTCGTTAGAGCACCAAAGATGACGTGACACGTTGTCGGCGGCCCCACTTAGTTATGTGCGCACTGTGTATTCCGTAGGGACATCACTGTATGTGAGGATCATTCGTAGCTTTGTTGCTGCTGGGTGGGCGTTCTGTACATGAGTATTCACACTGTTGCTGCTTACATTCTCGGAGTAATGGGATATGATTTAGGTACGACAAAAGCCATTTCTCATCCGGAGTGGTGCGCAGACTACGATATGATCCAGCCAACATCGATTCCCTCCCATTTCTGACCGTCGTACAAGGAAGAAATCAAACATCTGTCTCAAACACGGTTTGGACATGAAAGCGCAGCACAAGCACTATCAGCTGAGGGAAAGAAGAGAGAAAGCGCGTAGACGTGGGATTGTGCATCTCACACCACTGTAGGCACATCCCATGACACCTGCCCTACAGAACATACTACAATCAATCGGCGGCATCTCACGGTCGGAGGAGGAGCAGTTATCCCGGTTGACACAACCTACGTTGTCGTGGGAAGATGGAATTAATCAGCGACTGACTACATTTATCCGCCAAGATGATGCGGAGGCTCACTGAGTAACGGGCAAATGCACTTATTGCGCAGACCTGATTACATTTATCCGCCAAGATGATGCGGAGGCTCACTGAGTAACGGGCAAATGCACTTGTTGCGCAGACCAGAAGAAAGCTGGGACAGCTTGAAGTCGGCGCCAATGTGGCGAAGGACTCTTTGTTTCGATGAGAGTGGTGTGCGGAGAGCCTCGAGAAATTCCAGAGACTTCACCTGTGGGGTGGTGTCCCGGGTTTACAAACGAAATATAAAGCGTGGAGAATCGGAGGAGACCACGGTCAACGCGGGGGAGTTCCGCTGGACGTAGTCTGAGTCATTCTCCTTGAATAAGTAGCACTATACAGGTCCCGTTCATTTGTCCTCTCCTGAACTTTAGTGGCATATCCGGGCATCCTCGAACGTATCGCAGCACTTTCTTTGCTCCGACCTATGTTTATTGGAAGTCGCTCTCAACCCTTTGAAGGACTACCACGGAAGCTTTTGTTCGTGCCGTTTCCACGGAACATGTCGTGTTCATGTCGAGGTTTCCAGCTTCCTCCATCCATGGAAGCATTGTGTGTCAGGGATATCTACGTGTCCATGTGTGATGTCTACGTGCCCATGTGTGTGTGTGTACAGTATGTAGCGAAGATCGATCACGACGGAAGCGCTGCAGCCAACTTTAGTAGTCCCCTAGTTACGACATGAATATTGTGTGTGCACGGTACGAGGTATCAGCATCCACCTAGCTAGCAGACGTTTGGAGTAGTTGTATGTAGGGCAGATACCACACGCCGTATGACACGCTCCCGTACAGGGCTGTCAGCGAACGGTCAGAATAATAGTCATCGGTAAAACCCCAAGGTAGGCGGTCGACCATTTGGGGTCCCCAGCAGTAGGAATTAATTGTGTTCGAGAGCTGGTCCAGGCGCCTCTCTCCCTCACTCTCATATTCTACCATCAATCTCTGACCATTGTGTCAGACGTTAGCAACGACATGAACCACGGTTGGCTCCCACGGGCGGCATCGTAATCATCGTAATAGTGGACTTCCAATCCTAAGTCAAAGAAAGGAATATCGTTATATGACCTTGTTCACTTCCTTCCCTGGAGTAAGCATTTCGTTATGTTACAGCGTTCGTTCGTGAAAAAATCATCTACAACGAGGGGCAGGTTTTCCGTGGATGAAGTGTTCCGCATTATCTCTTCCATAAACGCATGCTTTTTGTATATTCTGTGGAATAAAATGATCTCACTTGGGACCCTGCGTGTGTATATGTATGTGTTGTTAATATTAGCATCGCCCGCTCTCACCGGCTGATCAATGAGAAGACGTCAGTTTGATCAATGAGAAGACGTCAGTTTCGGTGCGTCTTAAAACACAAAACACTTCAGAAGGCCATTTACTGGGACCCCGTAGGGGGGAGGCTAAACTATCCTTCGTATCAAAGACAGAAACGGTAGCAACAGAATACTGCACGCGTCTATCAAGGCTATTACCTTGAACTCGAGGGCGTTTAGAAGTACTTTCACCTTAGGGTTATCAGCCTCCTTGTCTTCTCTACCATCATTCATTCCGATCATCATTTTGAGAACAATATCTTGACAGTTCTTCCCTAGCCCTACAATTTTGTTCTGGGGAAGGTCATGTGGCTCAAACCCCCTGCTCTCTTCCACTCCTCCATGTTTTCCTCGTACATCGTCGTCTTCGTCGTCCTCCTTTCTTCCCCGTGTGTGTGTAGATCAGCAATAGAGCTTCATTGGTGTGGAGGTGATCATTCATGTCCTACCAGTGGGACGTGGACGAAGGATACACGAAGAAGAGGACCCCCGGCAGTCCGCTGCATCCCCGCGGCCTCACCGTGATGGGTGAAGTAGACTGGGCCGCGGTTTCGTTCAGATGAGGGTAGGCTGGTTGAAGGGCGAGCGACTGGAAGACCGTCGGTAGCAGATGACGAATTACGCCCTCTCGTAGGGTAGCAGAAGATGGTGTGATCGGCAAAGATCGAGGTAGGGGTGGAGGATTGGTGGATTTCGGGGGGGGGAAGGCACGGGCTACTGCTGTCGACCCCACTAACTCGTCGGCGCAAATAAATGTCGCACGCATGGATATGACGTCACTCACACGCCAACGCACATTTCTGCCCGTGATCTATCGCTCTCCCTCTGACGACCACCAGCGGCTCTCGCCCTGTGAAACTATGAGCTGCTTAGGGACTCCCTCTCTCCGTGCGTTTGTCTGCGCAAAAAGTGAGTCTTTTTGCGCCTCTGCCCGCTGTCTGCCCGCTGTGTGCTTGTCGCTGTGCCCGCTGAGCTTGTGTAGTCTCCTGAGGTTGGGTTCTGCAGCTGCAATAGCTGCAATCTGCTGTGTGGGCACGCGCGGTTCCGACCCCCTATTCAGGCACTCTAAAATCTATTGTTGGAAGTCGCGCAGCAAGCAGTTGCGTTCAATCTACGGAAGTTGTGAAAGTGAAGTTGAGTTCCACGAAAGCCGACGGGGTACATCACTCGTCGGCGAAAGTACCGTTAGACACAAATGATAGAAGTGGAGGAAGTGTTATAGTTCATAGTACGGAAGTCGTGAAAGTGAGGTTGACCTCCATGGAAGCTCGAGAGAAGATCATTTCTACAATAATAGTGTAGGGTGAAAGGCCATCCGTGGAAGTGAGGGGGGCGCTTGGGCCCATTCTACCGAAGTCATGGAAGTGGAGGCTACTTCCATGGAAGCTGTCAAGAGGGTCATTTGTACAATAGTGTAGGGTGAAACGCCATTCGTGGAAGTGGAGGCTACTTCCATGGAAGCTGTCAAGATGGTCATTTGTACAATAGTGTAGGGTGAAACGTCATTCGTGGAAGTGGAGGCTACTTCCATGGAAGCTGTCAAGAGGGTCATTTGTACAGTAGTGTAGGGTGAAACATCATTCGTGGAAGTGGAGGCTACTTCCATGGAAGCTATCAAGAGGGTCATTTGTACAATAGTGTAGGGTGAAACATCATTCGTGGAAGTGGAGGCTACTTCCATGGAAGCTGTCAAGAGGGTCATTTGTACAATAGTGTAGGGTGAAACGCCATTCGTGGAAGTGGAGGCTACTTCCATGGAAGCTGTCAAGATGGTCATTTGTACAATAGTGTAGGGTGAAACGCCATTCGTGGAAGTGGAGGCTGCTTCCATGGAAGCTGTCAAGAGGGTCATTTGTACAATAGTGTAGTGTGAAACGCCATTCGTGGAAGTGGAGGCTACTTCCATGGAAGCTGTCAAGAGGGTCATTTGTACAATAGTGTAGGGTGAAACGCCATCCGTGGAAGTGGAGGCTACTTCCATGGAAGCTGTCAAGGGGGTCATTTGTACAATAGTGTAGTGTGAAACGCCATTCGTGGAAGTGGAGGCTACTTCCATGGAAGCTGGCAAGGACATAATTGAAACCTGGCAAAACAGTGTTTCGACCCGTGCACGGGGTTTCACGCCAAGGACTGAACGCGAGATAAATACTTGCTTTTCGCCCTCAAAACACGCTGTCGACAGCATTCAATCCGATAAGACCGCCCACTAGAACGACGCAAGGATACGAACTGGTCTAGGGCTGCTACCCCCCTAAGCCTCCGACAACCCCCCCGCTGAAATGCACGAATAGGCTTGGGGTACGAGACTGGACGTTGTCAACGCGCAATCACTTGGAGCGTTTAGGTTTGGTCTTGCCACCTTTCGCCTTGGCGCTGGTGGGCTTGCCGCTAGCGACGGGTGTCTCCGTGTCTTCCGCCTTGATGGGGTGCGTCTTGACGGCATCCTTGAGGAGCTTGGTTTCGGGGCAGCAGGTGTCGTCGTGGCAGACATCCACTGCCGCAAGCTGAAGGAGCCAACTGCGAGGATCACGACATGGTAAGGAAGCAGGACAAGATAGCACGCGTAGCACGTCGAGGTTAATCAACAAGCCAACCGTACAAGTCCAAGCGCACAGAAACGAGAACGGGAAGTCGTGGGCGAGGACATGGAGACGTCTGTCGTTGCTTCCGCAAGACTACCCCAAGTGCACGGGCTTGTACACAAATCCATGAATGCCCATCATGAATGCCCATCAATTTATGAGCCTCCCACGTACCGTTTGGCCGTCGGCATGGGGTTCCCCACGAGTGCCTTGACGACGTTGCCGTCCTTGTCCTTAGAGTCATTTTGGATGGTAGTGATGGAGGCGTTGACGCCCTCGATGCGGGTTAGGCGTAGACGATGCAGTGCCGCGCGCCATTCCCGCATCACCTTCAGAGAGGCTTTTGTCCAGGGCAGCGCGGCAGCGACGCAGGCCCGAAAGTGGTCAAGGGGGCGATCCTCACCTTCGTCAGCTTCGCCATCGCCGGCGCCTTGTGAGTCGTCGTTTTCGAGGTCATCTGCAAGACATCGATCACGTCCACGGTAGCATGAAGTAAATGCAGTAACATTAGGTCACCATGAGAAGATCGGTACGGACAAGGCATGTTTGCGTTATCAATGGTGGGTGTCCGACGGATACGCTCTCCATAAACACACCCCGAGACGATCTTGCATGTGCCAGCCCCGTGGTTCGATCGTTCATCTGCGGTCTACGCCTACGGTGAGATGGGAATACCAACAAGTTTGGATCAGGCCAGCGATCGAGCCCTTGACGACGAGGTCAACGTTCTTACCTTGTGGCTCGGAGCGCGCGTCCTGGAGGTGGTCAACGGACTCGTCATCATCTTCCTCCGAGTCCCCTGACTCGGTCCCGTGCTGTTTTGCGAGGAGCTTCTTCAGGAAAGAGCTTTCCGAAGCCGTGAGGCGGTTGGCCTGCAAACCCGGGCGGGGGGGTAACATTGCGGCAAGGATCTGTGAGGACGTAGCCGATACGGTGTCCTCCAATATGGAGCTAGTGTCTGATATCTGTGCAACGTCTCGCAGGTCTTCCTGTGTCGGTGCGAAAGTAGACTTCGTTTGGGACCACCGGTCAGGCGGGAGCCGAACATATAGTTGAAATATGTCAGCAATACGTGCGGGGTGAAAAGTCGTTGGGAAGAAGAATCGGACGACGCCCTTGTCGTACGGACATACTGCGCTTCACAAGGACCAAGTCCCGTGAGAGGTAAGAGGTGTATGAAACGACTTAGTGTGGGTTGGGTGTTTCGTGGCAGTATCCTGTAGGTGCTATTCGCTCTGTTGCCTAGGGAAAAACTCACGCTTGGACTGCCATCTAGCTCCATTCCACACAACGAAGTGCACAGAATACGCCAACTCCACCTTTGGAGGACCGTTAGCCGGCAAAAGTGCCGAGCATGTTCACCCCACAATCTCTCCAATGGACAACAGCGTTACATAAAACGCGTATTGTCACCAAAAGTGTTTTGTCACGCATCGCATCAGTAGAAGTCGCAGGCTACGTATGGTTTGCGGCAGGCTGAAGTACACGTTTCGTGGTGGGCAATAGAGCCGCTAGATAGCTCCTGGTCGGAGAGGTGATCGTGTCCTTGTACTATCGTGTTGTATAGCATGGCATGCGTTCCAAAAGCATGGACCACATGATGAATGTACCTCGCCTCCTAGCACCAATCGTCTTAGCAGCTTGGCTTCGAGGCAAATTCATCCATAAACAGAACATGAAAGATGAAGGCGTCACCGTGGCGACCCCTACGCCTGAGTAGCTCTTGGCATGCCGTATCGGGCAAGCGGCTGACCCCACGCTACGCGGACCACCACACGTCCTTCCATAGCTTTAGTACATTGTATATGGATTGCTGGGCTGTAGTCAAGAATACTGTGTGTGTCGTTAGGCCCGATCTCCACCCTGTAAGAGATTGACCCTACCACAGATTGCCACGACATTTGACGGAACCCTCTTACAACCGACATGCCAGGGGTTCCGATATATGAGGATGTAGGACCTTGGTCACGCCACCCTCTTTATCCGGAGCAACGACTCTAACACGACAATCTCGGGGGGTTACCTGATCGTTCTTGCATGGGTCCAGGCTCGCCGCGGCGGGGGCTGCCCTCCCGGCTGGCTGCTTGTTGCTGGGGCCTGCCTGCAAGACGAAGACGAGCAACAACGAGCGGCAAGGTAAGTTATCCTGAAGAGAACGGCATGAACAATGTATATTCGAGTTGGGTACGTGCTGCGGCTTTTCAGTTCTCGACCCAGGGCATGATTCGAACGCGAGAACGGAAGCACCGAAGAGAGATCTATGTCAAGGCGAATACGACACATCTCCCCCAATACCGTGTTCAGGCTTTTCTTTTTCTTCGCCGCAGGTGGGTCGAGTGTTGCGGCTGGCTTCTTCGTGCAGGGAGGCGCCTGCAAGACGGAAGACGAGTAACGACGGGCGAGTCAATGTCGAGGATACAGATAGGGAACATGTTGGCATTTTCTTGTACTTAGGTCTGTGCTTCGGTCATTTCTTTCTCAGCCGGCGGCATCATTCGGACGCGCCCATCGAAGCGTTAAGGATGGACCAAGGCGAGACCGACAACTCACAACCATTACCTTGACGTTATTGTCGTTCTTGTGAAGGGCCGCAGTTGGGGCAGGCGTCCCCTTCGTTGTGCGGGCGTAATACCGAGGCCACGACGAGTATCGAGGAACAACATGACGCAGAAGTTAACAACATGGAAGCGTCAGCGCCACTAAAAAAAAACATGCACGATGGTCGACCGTGGGTTTCCCTACATTCGGCAACTCCCGGGGTTTAGGAGGGGGGCACGCAGGGGGGCGCCTTCCTCTTGAATTTACGTTGCGCAAGACGAGCAGTGGCCTACAGCTTGATTTGTGGCACCACTTTTCTCAGGCAAGGTACACATGGATGCGGCAACTGCCAAACTCACGCAAGAATAGGCAGCCCTCTTGGCGCTAGGCTAATGACGTCAAGTAAGAGTTTCCAGCGCGTGTTCCCATTCACAGTACGTTCCCAAAATGTAGGTTGGACTCGTGGCGTTAACCTTGTGTTTGGGGAAATGCTATGGCGGTACGGCCCGACAGAGCATACTACCACCAGAGACTCACCTTCCGGGCGGCAACCGCTGCGCTCTTCGCCTCCCCCTTCTTCCTCTTGAGAAGCTTCGCCTCCTTTGCGTCAACGCGGGCGGGGAATTCGAGTACACTGATTTTAGATATCCATTAGGTTATTACCCTCGCATGCGGCGAATCAGTAGACACAGAGATTTTACTCTACAGAGGCATCCTATTTTTGCCTACGTGGCAAACCGTTCTACTTAGCCGGAGTGTGATTTACGTCTGATCCACCCGAGGCCATATAGTACGGTGAGAACTCCACACATCCGGGCACTGCGCGGACAGATACACCGTCGGTAGTCGGGTGTCATCGGGGGAACACACGATATTAACACATCACACCGTTGTACTGCTTACGTCATCGCCTTGATGGGCCACGACAGCCATCCTCACCCTCTTCCTAGACACCTCGTCGGCTGCAGCCAAGGCGGCGTTCCGCTCCTTCATCCGGTCAGGACATGTCGACTTCGATATCTCGGTGAGCTGCTTCCTTTGCTCAGGAGTCATCTTCCTCCGGGCCGACCGTATCGTATGGGTGGTGTCGGACTCCGACTCGGACTCGGACACCTTCTCCTTCCCAGCCGTCTTCTTTACCTTGGCGGGTGCCTTCTTCTTTCCACCGGCCTCCCTAGTCTTGACGGATGCCTTCTTCCTGCCCTTGGGCGCCGACTGCTCCGACGCTCCCGAATCTACATCCAGCGGATCCCCCGACGCGCCCTTGGACGCTTTCTTCCTCATTGGCCCCTTCTCGCCCCGCTGCTCTGTCCCCAGATCGACAGTAGAACCGACCGCGCCGGCCCCCGGAGGCGTCGACCGTTGTCGCTTGCGGGTCGGGCGGCCTCCCTTCCTCTGTGGGGCAGGAAGGATAGGCGGACGTAACGTACCCATGCGACGCTCTCGTCAGAGTCGTCGCGGCTGCAGCCGTTCGCGCCATCCTCGCCGTCGCTGTCGTCGTCGTTATCTGTGTCCCCAACTTGGTGGATGGGGCGGTTGTCGTCGATTCCGTCGTCCGAGTCGTCGAGGACGTCCCGGACACCATCTATGGGGGGAACCCAGGGTGTCGCCGTGGCGGCAGCGGTCTTCGCTCTAGTGCTGGCGAGCACCACAGGGCGCTGGTGGCAGGGATTATGAGGGCAGACGAGGTGTCGGGGCTCACAACGTGTAGGTGTTGTTCTTGAGTACGTTGTACGGACCAGAGGCAGCACACGAAAATGTAATTTCCTTTCGGGCATGACAGCGGCACGAAAGGCGAACAACGACGAAGACACGGATGGCAGTCTACTCTCGCTTTACTCTACTTAGGATGAGCTCCCGGCGGTCAAGTCGTTATTCAGAGCGGGAGTTGTAAGCGCAACCGTTCGGGGTCGTTCTAGGTATCAGCTTCGCTGATTGTTTCGGTTGTCGAGGACTTAGCCCGTCAGGCACACCGTCGTCTAGGTATGCATGAATAGTCGTGTAAGCCAATTACTACCACACGACCGCCGGGTAACACGCACATGTTCGGCGTATCGCATGGTATATGACACTACACTCTACAGTGGCACAGCAAACTCGCACCCACCCTCTTCCTGCCACACGCCCACTCCGCGGGACTCCGACAAGTATTTCCTAACGAATGGGTTGCTAAGAATGTTTTGGGAAGGCGCCGACCACTACTAACAGAACGGGTCCGCGTACATCGCATGGTGCAAGGTCCCCCTCATGGTAGTTCATTGGTGACCGATTACATACCAATGGACATGCGGTTCAAAAACGAGCTCGACGTTGTCGCGATTTGTTCGCGTAGTAAAGGGTGAAACAAGTAATCATCCAGAGCGAAACAATTTATTTGTAGATGGTGGTGTCGATGGGATGTGACTCCAAACCAACTCACCATCTGGTCGTCAATGCCAGCATCCTCGAGGCTCTTCACGAACCCGGCGACGAGTCGGTCCATGATGCGGTTTCCCTTCGGGACGTCTTCGAGCTTCCCCGGGATGAAGGTGTATCGGTCTAGGCGGTTGTACCTCGTATCTGAAGATATCGCACAAAGGTGACAGACGCAGCAGGTACACGCCGGAAATGTAAATCAAACCCAGCGCCGTCGGAAAACTAGGGTTCTGGTGACGTCGCATGAAGCCCGAACGCAGCGACGATATTTCAAACTTTGCATGTGAAGGGATACAAGATGCGACTGCGTGGGTGTGGGATAGGTTAACCGACACTTGTCCGTGCTCGAGAGCAAAAGGAAAAAGCTTCACGCACCAAACGTATATCCATGGGAAACGGTTGCATTGGCTCTAAAAATAGCAGTATCACCCACCGGGTATCAGGACGAAATCCTGCTCCGGGACGTGCACACGGCCCACACGAGTAATCGGGTCATGACCCTCCAGTCTTAACGAATAACGGACGATCATGTGGTTGGGAGGAGGTCAACGTCATTCATGACCCAAGGTCGGGGCTTTCGTTTGATCTGGGGGGGGGGGGGTGCCACGATCAAGAAGAGAGTTGTGTGTTTCGTGAAGTACACCGACCCGGTTGACCGACCGGCAAACACGCGGACCTTGTAGCTGGAAATAAGCGCGGCAAACGTTACGAGGTTTTCGAAAGTAGTTCTAACCAAGAGTTCTCAATCGCGCGACATGCTATGATTGCCGGTTTTGGTTCGACGGGTCAGTTGTGAAGATGCAGGTCGTGTCACGTGTCTTTACTACCATCGTGGCAACACGGCAAATGGTGATCGCCGCGTTGTTTCCGCGTTGAAAATGGCGCCGCCCGGTTACCGAGCGCTGCCCTCCTTTCATTGTTATTCGCGTTGTCTCTCTTTTTCCCTGGTCTTGCACGCTACAGAGGACGTTTTGGCTCCGAACACAGCTGACGACCAGGATACGACACAAGAAATGTGAACCTTTATGAACAGCGACAGGAGGGGGGGGAGGGGGCGACAACAGCAACCCAGGCCCTCCCACCGACAACCACACGCTAACCGTGGACGTACATGTGAGGACGGCGTTCAAGGACGAGTACATGGGGCACGACATTATGGTCGCGTTCTTGCCGGCTATCAGGATATGTCCTCTTCGTGCTTTCTCGCGTTGGTATAACGTTCTTGATTTGAACCCCATGGAACTACAGTACGTGAGGTATTGACGTTGCAATTTGACTACCACGACCCCAATCTCTTCCCCATACATGCGTCCGGTATGTGCTTACATATGGCTGGGTAGGAGCGAAAGCCGCTCCCGGTTCGGGTCTTCCCTCATTTCATCATCGGATGCGACCTCGATGATCAACGCCTGGGTGATCGAATCGTACCCTGCCCTAGCAGTCTGCGCACTCGTGAGGTGACATGCATCATACGCGCGAAATCAGCGACGTGCAGGAGGCGATGGATGAACAAATGAAATTACCAATTGCGTGGGTGCGGCAGTATCCCATGCGGGCCGATCTTGTTACAACTCGGGGATGAACGAGAACGCCGGGGTTGAGGCCACGCCAGGCTCCCCACAACAAGAGGGAACAGAGCCTCGACAAACAAACAGAACACGTCGAACTCACAGGAGATAAAGGGATTTCAACTTCAATAAAGGGGTTTTACGGTTGTATATATTTGCAGAGCTGCCCGGTACCGTAAAGGGGTAGTTTTTGTTCTGCTTACTTCAAGGGTTCGCATGTAGATGAATGCGCGAAAAACAAAAAAAACAAGGATAATTGGCATTGAGGGGGGGGGGGAGGGGGTACTCATTGTCGTGCATGCCGTAGTCGTAAGACCATTGACCTCGCAGTGGTACAAAGCCCGCCTGGTTCTCACCGGACGAGGCTCTCACATCACAAAGCGCGCAGCGCCGCGAGTTATTCGGCGAGTCGCATGAAGGGTGCGCTGCACTTTGTGAAGGGGGTTCGGCATCTTGTGCTAACCTCCTTGCGACAGGATGACAGCTGCGTTAGACTTAATATATTTTCTGGTGCTCTCACGCCAGAGAGAGTTGTAACCACTGTGTAACTGCCTCGAGGGTGCTTGACCACTTTTAACACAGCGTGGTGTGATTACCCCCCTTTCGCGGTGTGAGGTTTCTCTCTCGACCCCTAACCCCATAATATTATCGACCACCATTCATGGTTACCGCAACCAAAAAATACAGTTAACCTGGTTACCGGGTTTCACGAAGGGATCGGCTAATTTAACAACATCGCTGCCCCGCGACGAAAACCCAACCCCGATTGCTAACCCCGGGGGGTTTTTTGTGTTACAACGTCGTTGCCAAGGGACGAAAACCCAAACCCGGATGACAAGCACCGGGGGGGGGGGGGGGGCAGAAACACGCGATCGGCGTCCGCCCGCCCGCACGTCCGTGAGTAAAAGACGCAGCAAATGGGATCTAGCGCCGTTTTTTACTGTTAGTGTTCCCGGCTGTCTTATTCTTTTCCGGCTGGTCTTGTTCTTACTTCTATCCCAAAAACATTCAACTGACCAAAGAACCCCTTACTACAACAAAAAAGAAAACCCGTTTTAGCCACTCCGTTTTGTCTTCTTCTGGGGCCAAGTCGGATACGTCGGGGCTGCCCAAAAACGTCGTCATTTGTTGGTGCCAACCACATGACGGTTGATCCCCGCAAACTCTAACGGTGATCGCACTAGTCGTGTAATGTGACTGGTGCAGAGATAACAGCAGCTGCGGTACATAGCGTTTTCTGTTTCCGTGAGGCTGCACCAGGTGGACAACCCGAGGTGTGCGGCACGAGCAAGCGGCAAACGAGCCGAGCGAGCCTGGACGCAGCAGCAGCGGTGGGTCATTTTTTTTGTGTGTTGTCCACCTTTGCGAACCCAACTTTAGGGCGCCCTTTAGCCTCCTGATCTGTGCCAACAACCACACAAGACGGACCATATGCACAGCTTCAGGCGGATACCTTTGATATCGCTGGAACTCGAGTGGGTGGCGAGGGGACATCGATGAACCAAAGTTGCTACACGGGAAAAATAGCAAAAACTCAAGACGAAGCGGGTAATTGTTCCCGCCTGTTCACGACTATCGAGCTCACAACTTTTGAGTGCCCTTCAGCCTCCTGGGCTGTATCCACTACACAAGAAGCGGTAGGTGACGGCGGATACCTTTGTCATCGCTGATGCTTCCCTGAGTGCGAAGATATCACCGACACACCCGCAGCGTGCATGCATGTGTGACGACGGCCGTTGCAGGGTATCTTTTTTTCCGGTCGATGAATCGGAAGAGAAAACGGATGGCGAAACACCAGCCCCTCCTTTCTGTAAACCACATTGGCGCCCTCCGCAAATCGACGTCATCACTGCTACTGCTGTGTGGTAAGGTAAATGAGACGAGCCAATGGTACCAAACGGACAACGCACGAGCCTACTGAAGGCACCGTTTTTTTTCTAAAATAGAAAGATATGAAATACTCCCCCCGGGGGGGGTACACTGGGTTGTCATGCCTCGGGCCGGTGCAGGAGATAAATCCAACCCAGTCGTAACACTTCAAAACGAACCCTCTGCATCGTTCACACACAACCCGGTAGTTACCATGCGCTGGGCATCGGGCGGGCGGACTCTGCTTGAGTGTCTCCGACCACACGCGAGACCGGCCTAACTCCACGCCGCACCAATAGAGGGTGTGAACCACGACATCCACCGTGTTTGTTTGCGGTACAGATAGCCGTCTGCGCCCGATCATGCACAGGAAGATGCCCATGCAGTGTTTAACACGATATACTTCATGTCCTCCATATTCATATTGAACTGTAGGCAAGACATACGATCTGCAACAGCCATCACATACTTTGGGTTAAACATTGTTACGTCTCTCGTCCACCGGTGGAAGATTATAGATGTTCTTGCTTGTCCCGCCCCTTCATAAACCGTAGCCGCCGCCTACCCGGGCACCACATAATCTTGTATATGGATTCACTGTTATAAAAGCGAATATTTGACTGTTATAACAGTGAATTGACTTTTATAACAGGCGGCTCACTCCCGTAACAGTCATCGTTATTTCACTGTTATGACAGTCAGTTCGTTCACTTTCATAAGAGTCAGCTGACTCTTATGAAAGTGAGGTGGGTGCACATTACTAACAGTCAGTTTGGGGACTTTTATAAAAGTGAAACGACTGTCAGCTGACCATTACGAAAGTGAGGTGTCAGTTCAAACACTGTTGTTACAGTCAGCTGACTCTTATGAAAGTGAGGTGGGTGCACATTACTAACAGTCAGTTTGGGGACTTTTATAAAAGTAAAACGACTGTCGTGCAAGTCACCTTTAACAGCCAGGCGGTAAAAATGACTTTGATTTTGGGGCAGTTCTGCAGCTCTCATCAAGAAACGGAACGATGGGACGAGCACATACTTGCCCAAGCGCATCATTGCATCATAGCGGGAAGCACCGGCGCTGAGGCCACAGCGCGGGCTTCGACGGCGAGTGGGTCAGGGAGCGGGGGCGTGCCGGATCACGAGGTGGGTTCTCCGCAGTGCTTTCCCTCTTTTTTATTTGGTCGACAGACACTAGGGTCAATCTTTGTGCAGCTCTCCTTCGTGCTCGTTGTGGAGCTGCGTCTACTTTGGGTGTGCGCATTGATGGAAATGCTAACTACGCCCCCACACGTCATTCTCCATTCTCGCTTCCGCGAAAGATGTACCATCTTCCGCAATACTTCCACACTCCTTGTGTACCATCATCATGCACGCATTATTCTAACCTACAGTACGCGACAAATGTCCCACTGTTATCGTCGGCGCTTGTCCCATTTTCATGCACGGGTGTAGAGGATCTTGAGCTTTTCAAAATAGAGAAATTGCTGTTGCGAAAGCGTATCGAAGAGTAAAGTAGCATGGCCTCGCAAATATATATTGCGTATGTTCGGGCCGACGTACCCCCCTGGTTCACTTGATTGAAAAATATTTGCACGCTGTGCGCGACGCTGCTCTGTCGCAGCTTGCCGAAAATCGTTTGCTCCAGGCCCGACTCAAGGCGGCCGAGCACGCGGCCGAGATCAGTCGACTAGAGCGCGCAGTGGCCGGCGGTGGAGATGGCCTCTCTGCCAACGGCAATCACGACCACGCCGCCTCCGCGGGGGAGCCGTCGGCTGGAGACGCCCAGGGTGCAAGCGGTGAGAGACTAGGTCTTCAATGTAGATGGGCCGCCTTCCTGGGTTCCCTAGAACACTGCGCGACGCTAATCATTACATGGTGGTTCGTTTGTTCGCCTTGTGATATGAGCAGTACATGTATCCAGATCCACCGCGTTTGTTTGTTTTCTTAGTCATTGGGAAACCTCGCTTTGGGCACCGGCGTCGGTGCGGGCCCCGGCCCTGCATGTGCTCCCGCCATGTTTGGTCCACCGATTGTAACAGCCTTCCCTTTTGATGGGTTTCGTTTGTTTGGTTGCATGGGAATGTTAGGGTTGGT